TAAACAAATAAATACATACACTTGCGTCATCAGCGTTCTCAAGCATAAAACTCAGTCATGCGTCTCCAAATGGTGTCCACCCAAAGGAGAAGAAACGAAGAAAACAGAAAAAAAGAACACAGAAGAAAGAACAAAATAAATCTTCTTTTATGGGCCATATCCCTTTATGATGTAGGCGATCATGGCTCTCCGCAACTTATTTTTAACAATGTTTACCTTTTCCCTGTTCTGACTTCCATTTACACGAACTCGTTAGGTAAGTTTCTCAATATTTACATTTCATTATTATTAAATTATTTTGCCAATTAATATTGTTACATCTTACTCTTCCACAGTGTCCTTTTTTTTTTTTTTTCAAGTACAGCATCTTCTGGCAGCACTACGAACAGCGTCTGAGGGTATCCTAAAGCAAGTTGGAGTTAAGCGTCATAGAACTTCTCCCCAGTTTGGTTGATGAAAATCGGTAGATAAATAAGACTTTGTACCACCCCAGAAAGTATCTGACTCCTCTTACTATGCCATACCTTTACAAGAGTCAGATCAGACCAAAAATGGAGTATTGCTGCCATATTCTGGGCTGGAGCTGGCCAATCCACACTTTCCAACACTAATAGAGTTCAAAAGCGTTTACACAGCCTTGTGGGTGATGAAGTATTTTCAACCCTACAGACCCATTTTTTTCGCTTTTTAGAATGATGTTCACCTGTACAAGGCCCAAGAGCTACTCAAGATAGAGGCATGCAGAGTAAGAGGCACACTTTTAGCAGATATGTGGGGAAGATAATACTTGAACAAGTTAAGATTGTGATCGAAGAAGTATCCCCTAGGAAGAAAAACCTAGGCATCTCATGTTCATGTATGGCAACAGTACTACATTTTCAACCTGATCTGACTCTTCTAAAGATAGAGGATAGCAAGAGAAGTCAGGTACTTACTGGAACGGTATAGGGAACCAACATTTTTTCCAGCATCTTTACTGATGGATTGGATGTACAGATGTTCATCACAATTGTTGAAAGTTCTGGGTTCACTCACTGATGATGGAATGTCACTAGTTTGCTTTTTGAGGCACTAAATGTGACCAGCAAGTTTTTTTCCCCACTGAGCTGTTAAAGCTAGGTCAGAGAAGAGATCAGCTGCCAAGCTCTGGTCATCTAGAGTTTTGGAGGTGCAACCACATACCTTTGCATCATCAGCATAGATATTCAAAAATGATATACTCATTGGCAGCTCATTTTATGTAAAGTAGAAAGAGGATTGGACAAAGAAGTGAACATTAGAGGATGCCTGCATTGATCGCTTGGGCCTTGGTAGACTGGCTGTTAACAACTACCTTCAGGGACTTACCCATTAGGAAGGATTTTGTAATTGAGAAAACTCTTCTAGTGATTCCATACTTAGAGAGCTTGTGCAGTAACCTTTTGTGCCACACTTTATTAAAGACCTTTGAAATATCCAATGCAATAGTTCTTGAGATGCATTTGTTGTCTAGTGCCTCACTGGTTCTGTCAGTAATAGCAGCTAGGATATCAGCAGTGAACTGAGCCAGTCGAAATGTGTACTGTTTATCGCTCAAGAGGTTGTTCCTATTGAAGTGATCAACAATCTTCTTCCCACAGATGAAACATAAATCTATTGCTATATCCATGACTAATGTTCTGATAAGCTACATAACTTGATTTCACTAGTTCAAATATTTACAACTAAACCCCACTATTCCACATACAATAGGTTAAATCATTCTTATTCCCTTCATATTCCATTGGGAAGAAATTTCTGTAAACTTCTTGAGAATCGGTATTCTGTGGAAGAGACTCCTGAGAGGATGCTTCCCTGATTAATATAATCTTAAGTCTAGGGTCAACCATTATCTATCCTACATATCCTTATAATCTGCACTTACTTCCTTCTCTTACATCTATACAACAACCTTATTCCTTGTACCACTCCAGTAAGTACCTGCTGACTCATGTTATCCACCTTCACAAGAGCCAGATCAGGATGAAAATGGATAGGAGCTACCTAGTCTTTACTTTCCAGTCTCGAGAGAATCCAAAAGCATCTCCACGACCTTGTGAGTGATGAATTATTTTCCACCATACAACCCCTTTCTCACAGACAAAATCTTGCAGGCCTTTCACTGCTCTATCGCTTTTTTCAATAGAAAGTGTTCAAACTATATTCCTCAGTTCCACTAGTTCTAACCTTCACTGCTAAGACCTGCCATGCCACGCACATTATAGAGACCCCCCCATCATTCCCTTTGTATTCCACTGGTGAGATATAAGTTCCACTTCTTCCTATGAAACTGCTGTTTGTCAAACCAAATCCCAAGAGATTGTTTCCACAATCACTACAATCATAACCTGTTCAAGTCCAGAGTTAATCATTATCTTTGTCACATATCTCCATAAACTGTGCCTGTTACTCTGTAACCTGCTACCTCGAGTGGCTCTTAGGCCTTGTATTGAGTGAACTTCATTAAAAAAAAAAAAAAAAAAAATTTTTTTTAATGTAAAACATATATTTACAATCCAACACGAATTGTATAGAAAGACACGTTGAAATGTCATCTTTACAAATAAGAGTTTGAAGTGAACTTCAAGTTAATATTTAGGTGAAGGTATAGGAATTAAATCCTATATATATATATATATATATATATATATTTTTCAACCAATAAAATTCCATCAGAAGCTTTGTTTGATAAACAATAATTACTAGGGCAAATACCACCAAAATACTTGGTCAACATACCTGTAGACCTACCATATGTTATTTTTGAAACATTTAGAAAATAAAAATAACTCCTTTTATCACTCCTGCAAAATTTGAGAAAAAATTTTTGCAAGCCAATATTTTCGAACCAATTCACAAAAGTTCAAATGTCTGTGTGAAATCAGATTTGGGATCCTCCTTATGGATATAAAAATAGAAGTACACAAGCACTCACTCACACATACATACACACAATGGAAGAGATCAGCCAGCAATGACTAAGGCCTGATCTACACACTCACAGACACATTAGGCTGACTGACATAAAGTAAGTCTGTTCACACATTTCACATTGGACTAAGAACACTTAATTACTTGATAGAACAAAATTTCACTGCAGGGAAAATTGAACATTTTATTGTGATTGTATATTTCTGAAAAGAATATATAAATGTTATTTCAACTGGCATCCTGCTTCTAATTTTCCTTCAGTGAACAAACCTATTTTTTATGTTTCATTTAGAAGATGTGTTGTTGTTGTTAAATTTTTTGAATCCTGATACGCAGATAAAAACAAAAACCTGAGTAGATGGATGCCGATAAAGGCTCTTTTGGATTAACCAGAAGTCTCCTAATGGCAGAAAATTTCAACAATCTCAAATGAATTCAAAATTTATTTACTACTTCATTTACAAAACATAAGAATGGAAATGGTTCATCATATTAACAGAGTCTCTAAAAATTATAATTCATGAAAAATAGGAGCAAGATAATAAAACAAAGTAATAGTGTAATGGCATTAGGCTACGAATTTATTACAAGAGTAATCGGTTTTGTAACGCCATTGACTTGCTTGTTAAGCTAGGTTACTTTTTATGTTGAAAAAAGGATATATTTATTTGACATATTGAAGTGGAGATATTATCATCACATGAAATTTTTCTGAACAAGAGGTAGTAGTAGTAGTGATAGTATTGTATTGGATGCAATGCAACATGTGATTCAGGAATTAAGATGTCACCTGGAGGGGAAAAGAGACATGTCTTGTCACTACAGCATTTTGTAGTTGAAGTGAGAAAGAAGAGAGAGATAGGAGGCTTGTTCTCTTTTCTTTTATACAGCTTTATACAACACCACCAAGCATGTGTTAAAAGTCTGCTGGCAGACATTTCAGATCAAGTCAAGTGTTCATAGCCACATATTGAAAAATGCTACAAACCTTTGTTCTAACAGAGCTTTTTAGTCAAAACTTGTATTCTAATCTGTCTGTCCCTCTCTATATATAGATGCTGAAGGTAACATCAAGCAGTTAAGTGACAATACTTTTACTTATATTAATTCTATATATTGAATATGAGAGACAATGTGTTTTGATTTAGTTTTTTATGCTTGTCTCTCATATTCAATGAAACATGCATGAAAGAAGGATTGCTACCTAAATACACACACAAAAAAAATATGTATATATATGATAGGAGGAGAAAAAGAAAAATCTGCTATTAGCAGAATTTTCTTTTTCCCCTCCATATTTCATTCTCTGTTGAAGTTTTAAAAAGCGAAACATGTTAGATTTATAAACATTTCATATTTGTTCCTTCTGTCGGACTCCAATTCATATTTAATCCCATTTTTATTTATTTATATATATATATATATATATATATATATATATATATATATATGTGTGTGTGTGTGTGTAAGGGGCGTGCAAGAGTTTCCAATGCTTCTTGGGTGAAAACTGGAGACTAAAATGCACTTCCTTCTCAAATACACAGTGTGGTTGGAATAAAAGGAGTGGCTGAATTTTTATAAGAATATTTTATAACTTTCACTAATGAAACGCTTTATCTTACTTAGAATGCTCGAAGCCTAAATATTTAATTAAAAGGATAAAAATGTTCCAGGAGAATTTTTCTCAAAAAATTTTAAACTGCTAAAGTACACATGAAAACCATTTTTTTGAACACATGTTTTTACACTTACAGCATTTAATTATTCATGAATATATAAACTTAAACTACTGTTGTTATTCTGAATGGTTCACTTATAATATAATACCCAAATTATTGCAACCTTGTGCCAGACTAAGCTAAGCTTCTTTTAAAAAAAAAAATATAGAAAACTTGTATTCGTCGTTTTGGCGTTACGTTGTAGGACAAAGGGAGGCAACTCCGTAGTTGCTATGACAACTGAATATGCTATGGCTGCCGTCACCTGCTTTGGGATTTTAACATTTTAAATAAAAATGTTAAAAAGTGATTAAAACTTTTTTTGTTTTGGAGATGGATGAAGAAATTAAACTCAAACTTGAAGGATTGGAGGTTACTGAGGAGGAAGATCTTTCAACAACTAGGAGTTTTCAACATTTGGACAAAGAATTAAACGAACTTGAAGAAGCAACTTTGGCCGATGATATAATAACGGACGAAGAAGATAATTTCTTCGGTAAAGAGTCAAACAAAAAAGTAAAAATTTGTTGTTTTTTTTTTTTTTTGTTTATTTAAATAGACATTTTATTTTTTCGCTTTACAAAATTACCGAAAAAGATAGAGCATTTGCTTTTCGCAAAAAAAATGTTTAAGTTGCTATCGCAGAAAAACCTATTTGTAAAAATTTAAAAAGAATTTCTCACCTTAAAAAATAAAACTTTTTAATTAATTAATTTTATAATTAAATTATTTTATAAAGTCAATGTAGAAAAAAGTGTTTTAATTATCTTTCGTAAAACATCAAGGAGAAAGTTTTGATGAAAAAAATCAGCTTTTTAGTTTTTTAGACTTGTGGGTAATTATTTTATAAAAAAATGTTTTCCTCTCATAAACTTATCACAGATATAAAATTTTTTTCTTTCCTACCAATTCCAAGTTCTTGTGCCAGACAAATCTTATTTGGTAGAATCAGAAATTTTCGAAAATAGGCGCAACTTAAGAAACAAAAAGACCACTGCGCAAAATTTTAAAAAGAACAACACATTTACAATTACAAATTTGAAAAGCACAAAATACAAAGGTTGTACAAAAATTTTACTTTTGCGCGCATCTTTGGCCAGGATAACACTTTTCTTGGGGTAAAAGAAAAAAAAAAGACTACCCACAGAAAAAAGAAAAAAAATTCACAATTAGTTTGATAAGAAACGGATTCACATACAAAAAAAAAATGTCACAATTAGCTTAATGCCCAGCCACCGGTTGAACGATGGGTACACACTTGCGTCGTGTTTTGCTATTGGATGTCTTATTTGAGTAGACTGAAGCACAAAGAAAGAATTCTGGCGATGAGTAAAACTAAAAAGGCATGCAATCATACTCTCTCCCTGCTAAGTAATGCTTATATTTTTTTTAATTTTTTTTTTGTAACTATTTTTATATCTAACGTTACATTACCAATTATTTGCGAATTTTGACTCAGGAGCTCAGGCAGAAGGGTTAATTGTTCAGGAACGAGGTGCTGAAAGGGTTAACAAACGGGTTCATGTACAAAAATTAAATTCCTTCAAAAATAGAAAAAAAAACTGGGAAAACTTGGAGAATGGAATAACAAAATGACACAAGGCAGAAATTTTTCAAGTAGCACCCACCTTTGTTCTTAATGCACAAAAAAACAGGATCTCTCAGCTCGAAAGAGTGTTTTTGCCTGTGTATTTTCAACCTGTTTTCTCCAGGGTTTTTAGAATTTTGTCACAATTAGCTTGTATCTTTTCTGTGAAATTTTCTGGTGTAGGAACCTGCCTGTCAGGTCTGATTTATGACCTCTGCTAGGACTGTCCTTTGAATTGGGGGTGCAGTGCTCTTTCCGTTCTCATCAACGGCACATCCTTGACTCCTGTCTGATCTTCCCCTCACGGATCTTCCTCCGCCCTCTTCTCCAGATCGCTGAGAGAAGTCCTTTTTATTGAAAAAGTGATTGTGATATCGGCTCCAGCCAAAATTTGACACTGGCCAGCAAACTTGTTTCTCACTGGCCAATATATCTATAAAATATATTTAAAAAAAAACCCCCAAAAAACCCTCTAAGTATTCAAAAAAATAAATCCGAAATTTAATACACAAACCGTTTGCCCTTCTGAAGAAATACACTTTTCTCAAAACGTGTATAAAAAAAAAAAACAATCTAGACATAGGTCTTTAACATTTTTTAAAAATAATAAAATAATTTTTTTATACAAATTCTAATTTTATTTTAAACTTTTTTTAGTATATTTTTTTAATCCATAAACCTTTTATGTTTTCTGTTTTAAAGGAAAATCTATCATTCTCTTTTGGTAAATTCAACAAAATTATTTACTTTTCAAACTACATTAAATCATTTCACCTCAAACAAGGTGATAAATCCAAAGTTGGTTCTCTGTGTCACACCAGAAGGTTTTTCTTGTATGAATCTATCCTTCAAATCTACCATTCGTCCTTGCATTGAATACTGTTGCCATATATGGTCTGGTGTCCCCGCTGTTCATCTTGAGGTTCTCAAAAAAATTCAAAGATGGATATGCAATGTGATAGGTCCGGTCAACTTTCTCACAGACGTCATATGGCTTCCCTCTGTCTTTTCTACAAATATTTTCATGGCAACTGCTCTGACAAGTTATTTTCACTGGTGCCCCAACTACATGAATTTAAGCATGCTACTAGGTTGCCATCTCGGTCACAACCTTTCACTGTCAAAACAGTTAAATGTAACCACCTCTTCTACTCCAACAGCTTCTTCTCACACTTCCTGACAGTAGAACTCCCTTCCTCTTAATTACTTCCCTGATAGCTATAATCTTCAAATATTCAAATGTAATGTCAATCATTATCTTCTGTTACCTTGATCTTGATCCCCACCCTTCTCTTTATCCTTTCCTCAAACACCCCTCTTTACTCTTACTTTCACTTTCTGTAAATGCCTCTATGCACCTTGCTTGGGGTGAAATGCTTAAAAAATGTCGCAAGGGGTTACTGAGAGTGAAATAATCTGAGAAAAACATGAGAAGAGAGAACAATAAAAGACTAGTATTCAAGGAGATGGAAGACAAATGATGTTGCATTTAAATTTTTGAAGATTAAAGTTGATTGGAAAGCAAGAAGCTGAAAGTGAGTTCCACAGGTGATAAGTGCAAGAGAAGAAACTATTAGCATAGAACTTAGTTACATCTAACAATTTCAATAGTAAAATGATGAGACCTAAATGCCAATCTAGTACTCATTCTCTACTGACATAAAGTGGAAAGATTATATTGTATCAATTATTAGGTCTGCTGCTAATAAAGTTGGTTCACTGTACTAGACAATTTTTTTCTCCAGAATCTATCTTACATATTTATGAGTCTACCATTCATTCATTCTTTAAATATTGCTACCATATGATCTGGTGCTGCTGCTATATATTTAGAGATTCTTGGTAAAATCCAGAGAAGAATCTGCAATATTCTTGGTCTTGACCTGGCATCTCAGCTTCAGTCACTTTCCCAATGCTGTAATATAGTTCCTATGCCTTTTCTATAAATACTTTCATGGTAATTGTTCTGATGAACATTCTGCTAGACATAAATTTAAGCAGAGTACCATATTGGCAACAAGATGCTAACAGTCTCTTCTCTCACACTTCTCACTTATGGAATTCACTTCCAGCTCCATGCTTTCCAGCCAACTTTGATCTTAAATTAAAATGCAGTGTTAATTGTTAGCTACTGTCTTCTTGATTCCTCTTCTTTTATTCTTCTTGCTCCTTAATGTTTATATTTTCTTATTCTTTCACACTCAGCAACCCATTGTGTCTTAGTGGCTTTACTGCCTTGCTTGGGGTAAAATAATAAAAAAATGTACTGCACTTAAATTCATGAAGTTGAGATACCAAAGAGAAGAGCTCATCAGAGCAATTAGCATGAAAATATTTATAGAAAAGACACAGGGAAACTATGATAAGTGACTGAAAGTGGGATGCCAATACTGGTAAAATATATAAAAATGAAACCTATTTTATTCATTTCCTTATTAATGATTTCAAACATTATTGTCCCTGAAGTTCTCTTCTAAGCAAGATTGAGCATAAAAGAATGGTTTTAAAAGGTTACTCTATCAGGCCATTGATAGTGAGTAACTGAGGTATTTACAAATGAAGATATAATAGCTACTTGTTGAATTAATTCCCCTTGGCAAAATGGCAGTTTGGAAAAGCTAGATTTGCACAGATGGCACTGCTAAGTTATTTGCATGGAAATAGTTATAACATTATTATTGGCCAATTATTGAGTTAGCCTCATATATATATATATATATATATTTAAGGTGTGCTATATTTATGGGATAAAGTGCTCAATATCAGAGAGCGTGTGTCTAGGTATATATATATATATATATATATATATATATACACAGAGAGAGAGACAGACAGACACAGACAGATCACCCAAAGAGAAGCCATCTTGGAGCGAAGTTCAATGCAACACAACACTACAAAACAATTTGAATTGTTGATTGCTAAATTTTTTGTCTTCTCTTTTAGTCTCCTGTTGAGGGTGAATTGGATGAAGACACAGTCTACGAGAATATTTCCTGTATTCAAAAAGCAGATCATGGAAACCTACAAAATCTGACTTTCTCTGGTGCCGTAAGTCATTGAGTTTTTTGTTTTTTTTTTTTTTTTCTCAAAATTAAGGAAAGTTACGTAAAAGATAATTTGGTGCATTTCTAGTAAAAATCAGATTTGACCAAATTTCTATATATGACTAAATATATTCAAAGAGTATCATAATTTGGAACATTTTTTTTTGTATATAGTTAAATATATTCAGAGAGTATCAAAAATATGATAAAACTTTTGTGTGCACATAAGAGTAAATATGTTTAGAGTATCACAAACTTAAATTTCTGTGTGTTCATAAGATTAAATATATTCAGAGACTATCACAGACTTGCTCAAATTTCCATGTTTTTGTAGAGCTACATATATTCAGTGAGTTTCAGAAATGTTTTCAAGTTTCTGGGTATATGCGTGCTTTTATTTATATTTATAAACATCTGCAAATAAAAAAAATCTACTTAGCTGCTGGTCAGCAGTTTGTAATCAATGCAGTTGTTTAAGAATTGTGACAAAGAGGTTGAGAAGTTTCAAAAGAAACAAATTCAACCTGTCAAGGAATTCTATATGTATATAGAACAACCTAACTCACAAAAGAAGAGAAAGAAAATACTGGTCTCTGTGGCCAAACTGATAGTGGCAGAGAGCAAAGTTAGAATTACCTATTTAAAGTATAGTGGCATGGGGCTTAGAGGTTAATATGGACAGTTGATTTACCTACACCAAGACAGTTTAATGAAGGATTGTAATGATGAGGAAACGTATGAGTAATTTTAAGAAAACAAGATAAGGAATTTATTTACAAATTTACACGCTTGAAGTAGTGTCAATAGATTGTTTCAGGAAAATAAATCAGAAATCCATAGTTTTAATGAACTGTCACAAAGAGGAAATGTTCATACAACAGATTAAATGATCTGACACAAAATAATATTCAAAAATATTTAAAACAAAAGTAAGAGAGTTTGTTGTTCACAGAATGGATCTATGGTTTGCATCCATTTAAAAGTAGATGAAGAGAAATAGTTTAAAATACTAAGCTTTTTTGGAGTGTTGAAGGAAAATTCTTTGAAGTGTTGCACATTTGGTTAAAAGTGGATAATATAATTAGTGAATAATTTTGCACTGGCAAGAACTTGAACAATAGTCACTGGTTGTGAGGACTTGAAACAAAATCTTTCACATGACTTTAGATACACTTCTTTTATTAATTTTTCTCCCCATTTTATATCAAAAAGGATTTTGCATAAGATTGCCATTTTCTTTTATTTCTTTTTCTTGGCCCAGCAGTTAATTTCTGTGAAGACAAGGTTTTCATTGGTTCAAAAGCAATTTCACATAGGCTCACAAATTTATTTCCATCTTTTTCTCAGCTCACCAGCCAATCTCTGTGAAGGCAAGACTTTCATTGGTCCAAAGAAAATTTCCCATAGGCTCAAGATTGTCTTTCCATATTTTTTCTCAGTTTGCCCAAATTTGAAGGGAGTGGGTAAAGGGAGTTATTTCATACTCAGTACAAAAAAAAAGCCCACCTCTCTTTGCAACTTCTACAAATCTATATCTGCTACCTTCAGTTTTGTACCCCAAAATGTAAATAACAGTTAACTTTTATAGGATTTTTTTATCCAAAAATATTTCTTTATTACTTTAAACACTATTTTTAGTGGCTACACATGTTTGATTTGCAATACCTGTTCTTTATTTTCTATGCCAGTTATTAATTTTACTGTTTAATAAAAAAAAATCAGCAATAGTGACTCAAATCTGTGTATATGCTAAAAATAACATTTATAGTAATAAGAAATACATACATGTCTAATGCAACTTTTGTGGTAAAGCCTTCAACAGTTATAGAAAACTTCCCTAAATCTTTATTCAAGAAGTCCAACTATAATAATATCTACATAGATAAATTGTTTATATAATAAACTGAAAAATGTAACTATGATTAAAAATACATAAACTATGTAAATAAGTCAAAATAATCATGTCAGTTCCAGTGAACAGTAAATAAAGTTTTCAGTTTTTTTCCTATTGAAAACATTTGTCTTCTTTAACATTTTTAGAGAATATAGAGAAAGATTTGAAAGCCTGAAATGACATTGTTGATTGTTATATGAAAGTGTTTATATAAGTGAGTTAAAGGTTTTATTCAGGAATTTTTTTTAACATTAGATAGACGAAACATGGATCATATAGTGTAGCCCAAATAGAGTAATGAAAAAGATTATTGACTTCAGCATTTTGGACTCTTGGCTTAGATAATTTGTCACAGATGTTAGTGTAAAACTCTTACTTTGAATCTGATCACAGACTTCTCATAACAAAATTTACAACACCGATCAAAAAAAAAATAGCCCACTTCCACTCACATAAACTATAGACAGCACCTAGGTAGAATATCCAAGGGTTGAAAAATGAAAATGTAAGATTAGAATTCTGTAATAAACCAAACTGATGTCCCTAAATCATGATTATAACAACAGAAAGGAATCAAATAATATTATGTTATCCTCCTTAACCAAAACATATGAGACACTTCCAAGATCATCTAGACAGAAAAAGATCCTCCTGTGGGATGATAATTCTGATTTGAAAGGATTGATACTAGAAAGAAGAAAAATGGAAGGAAGAATATTAAAAATTTTTTTTAAATTAATCAATGCTAAACCAAAATCTCAAATTGGAAACCAATTTAATGAAGTGTTGGAATGTGGAGAAAAGCGAAAAAACCAAATGCTACAATCAAAACCCAAACAGAAAAGATGTCCTGGTCTTAAAAAACACTTTGAGTCACACTTCAACCATAACTATATTAAATGACTACACAATTAGATCACACACCAGTATACATCCAAGTATTACAATGTCTGTTGCCAAACATAATCACTAATGAACCTAACAATGAAGAAGTAAAGAAAGATATAAAAACTCTAAAGAATAATAAATCATTACTTGAAATTGAGGTTGAACTTTTGAAAATAACATGCTTTCTCCCCAAATTTAAAAACAACTTTCTAAATTTCATGTAGGAAGTCTTAAATCAGAAATGCATTCCAAAATAATGGTGTGTATCACATATCACTGCACTATGGAAAGAAAAAGGTACCCCCCACAACACCCTTACATATACAGAGGTATTGCAATTTGATCCATTATGATGAAGGTATCAATGTATTATATTAACTAGATTTTCACCTTTCTATGAAAATCAACTCCTCATGGCACAATTTGGCTTTCGTTCTGATAAAGGGTGTAATGATGGCATTTATGTAATCAAACAACTCTAAAAAAAATTGCTTGGCCCTCCAATAGAAAATTATATACGTGTTATGTAAACCTCACAGCAGCATACAACCACATCAAAAGAGACTTCCTCTTTTTCATTAGAATTTGTGAATTCACTGAATAGCTAGATCAAATAGAAGAACCTTATTGGTCCACAATGTCAGGCTAGAATCCTAGTGAAGACCCCAATTCTAAAACATTGCAAACCTCATTTGGTATATGACAATGAGGAAATGAGAGCTCCAATCCATTTAGTCTCTTCATAGACTATGCAAGTACAGATATGAAGAGATAGACACTGATCACTTAAACATGCCATGCCATATTCTAAATGAATTTACTAACAGAAAACAACATCTTTGCTCCCCGCCTGAGGCTGATTGACATAGGCATTCATAGTTAGCACAAGAATCATCTTGAATAAAAAAAAATCTCTATCCACTACCAAGTATTTCAAGAAGTAGAACTCAAGATAAACATTTCCAAAACAGAAACTATTGTAGGGTTTTAGATAGAACACTCTACCTAGTGAGCAGATAGGTGAGGTGAGTTAATGCCCTTGGCACAGTAGGGACGACTGAAATGGATTAAGGCCCTTGTCACAGATACCAGTTTGGTTCAGAGAAGAGGTTAGAGCAAGATGTGCTGCAACCAATGTCTAGACTGACACCATGAGGAACAAAGGTATTCATAGATGGTAGTTGACCACCTCACCTCAGCTGAAAAGTATTAATCTTGTGGTGCAAATCTAATCTGTTGTAAGTACCATGTTTATGTCATGTTATATTGTTGTTTTACATTATTGCATTTAATAAAAACAGTAAACATATGTTGGCACTCTTTTCATTTCACTTTTTAGTACCTTGTATTTATTCTTGTTTGAGAGAAGTGGGGAGCTGTTATAAAATAACAGACCAACAATATGGTCGGGAATTGATGGTGTGTGTCCTGAATGTCTCATAAAAGTTCAAGATGTGGAATTAGTAAATATTAAACACTTCAAATACCTTAGTGTATGTATCAGTTATAACCAATTTAATTTAGGAGATAAGGAAATTGAACATAGACTGTGCTAGGGGTAGTTTTGCCCAACACTACAAGTTGCTACAAAACCAAAACATTAGCCTTAAAATTCAAGTCATGTTCTTAAATAGTCTCATCAGATAAAGATTTTCATATGTGTGCCATAAATGGCACCAAAATCATTCAGAAATATCTAAAATGTCCACTTTATACAAGTATTTTCTCAGATTGATGGATAAAAATGGCTTCAGTGAGTGAAGTGTGTAGGTTGCAGTGAGGACCATACTTCTTTGAATTTCATAATCTGACATTACAGAATCATAAAGAAGGGTACCAAATAATAGACTTGGGGACCTTCAACAGCAGCAACAACTAAAATGGATAGTACATGCAAGTTGAAGCGAAACATAATGACATAATCAAAATGCTGACATTCTATACTACCTCAAACAAAAGACAAGGAAGGAAACCTCTATCAATACTGGAAAGAATAATAACTACTGGAATTGAGAAACCTGTTTTCCTGAAAAAATTGTTTTAAGAGAAAAATTTTATAATTTTCAACTGACTAATTAGTCAATGAAGGCCAATATTACCATTACCATATAGCAAGAAATCTTGCAAAATCTCTGCAGCTTCTTTGAAGACAGTGTAATGTTTATGCATTAAAAGTATGATGATTAATTTAGTCTTTCCTTATCTTTTTCCAGAACCTGAATTTGAGGGATATTAGCATTTTAGCTAAATATGCACACCTTCAAGCTGTGGATGTGTCCCATAATCAAATTTCGAGTGAGTGCCTTTGTTGTTTTGTTTTATCTTCTTACAAATAGATTGATCTTTACTCTCTGAGAAGTGCCTTAAAGTGAATCTGATTAAGCATTTATTTCTAAGGAATGTCGTGGCTGTGCAACATACAACTAAATGAAATGCACTGCTTTTTTACCCTTTAAACTTTAACTTGTATAATTAAATTTCAAATGGAAAGTTTTCCACCTTGCCTGTTAATATGGTCTTAAAATTAAAAGAATTTAAGTTTCTTTTTGAAAGTTGTTTACAATATAACAGTCATGAAAAATGGAAACTTGGACTTTCATTAAAAATCTGAAGGATCTGCATTACTTCACATGGATTTTATATACACTAAAACATTTTTTGCAACACACTAACAAATGTTGAAATCCTCATAGTATTTAGTATTGTTGATGTTATCACTAACATTTTGTTGAGATTTACAAACTCTACGTTTCATTCAATTTTGCAAACCAGTAAATGAAATTTGAATAATCTGATTTGTTTGGTAAAATACTTTGATGAAAACCTACTTTGCAGTTTTTACACACCCTAGTAAAACCAATTGTACTTTGTAGCCACTTACCTGTTTGCAAAGTATGCTTTTGGGATTGCCATCAGCTGCTTTTTATTCTCCCTAATCTCATTTGTATTCTCCCTAATGTTTCAACAGTGACTTTATTCTTAAGAAAAAAAATTCAGGCTGCTGAATGTGGACTGTAAATAACAGACCTGAGTGATGTTCTACTAAGAAAAACCTGTATGAATCTTTGCTGATGTACTCACTGTCATTGTAAATGCAACGTTCATACAGTACACAAAAACTCACTCAATGGCATCTCACAGTTAAATGAATAACCCTCATGGGTGTGTGTCTGTTCATGCATATGCAGCAAGTTTCCCACTTATTGGTTGCTAAGTATTACAGGAAATAAACTCAAACACAATGGTTTCATCTGCAAAAGGGGTGATCACAACCTCACACCAATGTTCTCCCAGAAAACTGTACTGTAAACAGTTCATGGGGTCCTACAATCACTACTAACTTTATATCCTTGCAACATCCAAAATAGCCATACACTGACTGATCAAAACTAAATCTTTGGGAGAAATACAAATAGATCTAACTAATAAAATTCTTTTTGACCTTAGCCTTATGTCAGGAAGAGTTCTGTAACATATCTTCTTGTAATCACTAAAGATTTTATGTAACCAAATTGACTGCTAATAAATGTTTTCGTAATCCACAAAATGGTCTCATTCCCACCAAAAAGTTAAAAACTCTTTAGTAATATTATCTTTGTATAAGACATCAGAGATTTTTTAAATGATTCATTTTTAATATTAAACAAGATTTTTTTATCCACTAAATCAATTGATTGATTTGCTTTTTCAGCTTATCAACCTTTTGCTGATTATTTTAAAGCCAGAAAATATTTTTAGATTGTAAGACTTTTTTTTGGAGATAATAAGGATTTACTGATACAAGTTTTACTAATTAACCCATAATGGCTCTCTGGTTTCCAATTCCAAGCTGTTATCATTATATTGTCTGCACATCCAAGCTTGATATTCTCTAGTGGTCACCAGGCTTGATGTTGCTTAATTTTAGTGATTGTTCAAGAACCAGTGTTTCAATGTAATATAGCCATAAGCCTTCACAGAATTTCTTTGGTTGCATTGTAGAATGTCTCTCATATGACATTCACCAATCATCAGCTAATTTCATCTCTGATCTAGTTCTAATGTCCTAATGAGGGGGGGGGGACTGGTTTGTAACTTTCAATATCTTAAAAAACAAGATAGTAGCATTTCATCTTCACCAAGCAGACTCTAAATTATCTCCAGTCCTGGTGAGTGGTTGTACTCTCAAAGATATTCATTTCTTTGATTGTCTCTTGAGACTCAAGTTCACTCCAGACTTCAAATAGAACTCATATTTACAATCCATCACTAAGTAGACTGTGAAAATGGTTATCTGTCTGTACCACTCCAGAAAGTAACTGACTCCTGCCATTATGCTTTATCTTTATGAGAGTCAGATCAGACCTAAAATGGGGTATTGCTACCATATCTGCTCTGGAGCTGCTCAATCCTCTCTTTAAGGTGGATGTTCCACCCCTAAAGATTCTTCCCAAGAACTACTACTTTGTGGAACAAACTCTTACATAATACTTCCCTGGACACTACAATCTTAACCTCTTCAAGTCTAGGGTCAATTATCTATCTTCTATAGCCTTGTAATCTTCACTTCCTACTTCTTCCTTACATTCATACAACCTCATTCAGTAACCCCTCTACCTTGAGTGGTTCTTGGGCTTTGAATTCGATGAACTTTAGCAAAATATTAAAAAAAAAACGATAATAATAATCATGGTTTGGCCTTATGAACAAAGATTTGGGAGGGCTTTCCATGACTCACTGATGCAAGAGTGTGGAGTAACCCTTTGGTCTGCATTAGTGAAATTTTAAGGTAAACTACAGCAGGCACATGACCAACCCCAATGGTTTGCATACTATGGCTCACCAGATTCTATTGGAGTTTCTTTCTTCTAGGCTAATGGTTCTAATCCTTTTTTTTCTCAATGAAACCTTTTTACCATATATCAGAATATGTCACTCCCCACTTTCCAAGATTGTCCAATTCAAAAAGTGTATTCCAAATAATAAGCATATATTATTGACAATCTTCATTTTTTTCCACGTGAGGACATATACATGGATTTTTTTATAGAGCTTTATATATTTAATAGCAATAGAAAATGTTGATGGATTTTTAAACTTGAATGGAAGTACAGTAATTTGTTTTAATTCATAACTATTAAATAAATAAACTGAAGCATATTCCAATAAACAAAAAAAATTCAATAGAAAGACAGGTTATTGTAATTCTAGAAACAAAAAGTTCAGTAAAAGTTCAGCATATTTAAATTGATTTTATTCTGTTGAGGATGTCAATAAGAAACTTGTGAAAAGGTAAAAGATTTTCCATCCTTTCCCCCTGAAATTGCCCCTGGTTGAGAACCCCTGTTCTAGGCAGATGACCAACTCCCCTGTAGAAGTCTACCACCCCTTCAAGGTGATTTTCCAACTGTATGCCTGAGCTGGGTAACTCTGAAACATCTACAGAGATTTACATGTAATATTTGTTTTAATATAAATATGTATTTTGTGTTTTGACAAAGGCAAAAGTTTCTCAGTGATAAGTATAAATGATCATCATTTTTAAATCTTCACCTGGATAGTCATATCCAGGTGAAGATTTAAAAATGTTCCAACCAGTTTTATTTATTGGTGAGGCTCAACAATGTATAAGAAAGTTTATGCACAGTGGATACAGATGCAAGACAATGCAGTTAACAAATCTACAACAGAATCTGTTAGAAATTTACACATCAAGTTAGATAGCAAACATAGACATACCTTGTTTTGTGTGAATGCAGGTATTCAACTTCATATGCCAGACAGGAGGATAATCTCAAAAAGGAAACAAACACATGTACTCTACTAACACACACGGTGACTTATTTTATTTATTAGGGACAACACAACAGTGTGCCCTCATAATGACAATAAAAACAAAGAAACTATGGGTAGATAACTCCGACCCCTTTATCTAACTTTAAATGTTCATCTGATGAGAGTGAAATTTTCAACACTCCTCCTCATTCGTTGTCAGATTATTCTATTATTTCCCGATCTCCCAACATTTCTCTGAGCTTCACAAATTGTGTCCTTTTGTTAGTACGTCCACAACCATGTTCTCAGTTTGACAGTATTGTAGTTCAGTAGTTTTCATTGCAACTTGCTCTCGGATGTAATGAAACTTAATGTCAATATGTTTTGCTTGTCCATGCTAATGTGGATTTTTCGCCATACAAATCATAAATTAGTTGTCCTCGTAGATAATTGTTGGGTCAACATGGGCTTCATTTAGATTGTATTAGAGATACTGCATCCATACTGCCTCCTGTGCTGCACTTGCCAAAGCCATATATTCCTCTTCAGCTGCAGATAATGCAACACAGGTTTGCTTTTTTTCTTTTCCAACTGACAGCTGCCCCACTTAGTTTAAACAGGTATCCTGACTTTGATTTGCAGTCATTCAGATCACCAGTTCAATCTGCATCCAAATATCACATCAGATCGCCTGTTTCATTTTTGTCATAGAGTAGCCTACAGTTATGCATACCATTTAGGTAATGTATAATATTCTTTACAACCTTCCAGTGTTGGACTGTAGGCTGGGAACAAAATTTTGCTTGCTACATTTCTAACAGCATAGACAATATCAGGTCAAGTCCTTGTTGACAAATAAAGCAAGCATCCAATCACTGACTGAAACACTTCCTGATTGAATGGCTCACTGTCCTTTTCAGCTTTTGTCAACTTTGTACCAGCATCAATTGGAGTTGCCACATACTTTGAGTTTTCCATTTAGAACTTCTTCAGAACTTCTGTGGTGCATACTGGTTATCTGATCCATATTTTTCTTGACTCTGGATAAGTGATTTTAACACCCAAGAAATAGTGCAACTTCCCCATGTCCTTGATATTAAAATTTGGTAAGATTTATTTAATGAATCCTTGGATACATGTCAAGAACATACACAGCCACTAGGAACATATCTCCTCCTGAGGACTGTGTATAAATAAATGGGTCATTTTCCAATTGTTTGAAGGGCAGCCTTTTTAGTTGACAGTCCAATGCTTCATTCCATCATCTTGAAAACTGTTTCAGACCATAGATGCTTAGCTTCTGTTTACAGACCAAATGTAATTTGCCTCTCATCTCCAATCCTTCTCGCTGCTTCATATAAATATCCTCCTTCAACTCACTATTTAGGAGTGCAGTCATTATGTCTAACTGATACAGCTATAGGTCATGTTTTGCTTGTCAATGCAATAACAATTTGAACTGATTCAAACCTTACAACTAGGCAAAAGGTCTTGTCATAGTCAATTCCATACCTTTGATTAAAGCCTTGAGCTACCAGCTGAGCTTTGTGCTGTTCCATGTCTCAATTAGCATCATATTTTTGTTTGAACAGCCACTTACTACCAAAAGATTTCCATCCACTGGGTAGGTTCAGCCAAGTCCCATACTTTATTTGTTTGAAGTGAATCCATTTCCCTTTCCATTGCTTTCTTTCATTCATTTTTCTCAAGACTGGAAAGTGCTTATTTCACAGTTAATAGATCATTCAATCTGTGAACAATGTTTGCATACTCATCATAGCAATCTGGAGCTAACTCTTTCTGCTTTCTTTAGTCCTGTAGCTTCCTGTAAGTTGTTTTCATTATCACCATCATCATCCTCACTGATACTCTGACATTGAATTTCTACAAGAGGTTGGTTTTTGATTTTTTTCTTTTGTTTATCTGGTGATTTTGTTTCATTGAAAACAATTTTTCTGTATCATAAAGTCGATATCCTTTAAAGCCAATACCATATCCGAGGAAGATGCTCTTCTTAGCTTTAGGATCCATTTTGTTTCTGTCATCCTTTGGTATGTGAGCATAAGCACTACACCCAAAAACACACAAATGTTTCACATTTGGTTTGAAGTCTGTCCATAATTCATATGGTGTCATTTTTTTTGTACTGCAGTTGTTGGGCTTTTGCCCAAAATCTCTTTGGAAAATTTGTATCAGATAGCATTGCCCATACAGTTTCTATCAGTGTTGAATTCACCCTTTCAGCCACTCCATTTTGCTCTGGCATCTTAGTAATAGTGTGTTTTTTCCACAGTGGTAACACTTTGGTTCAGTTTTGTTATGTTTTGATGCCATAGTTTTGGATTCAACCCTACCACTTTCCTTTTCTTTAAACTTTCACTGCTCATACAACAGTCATTCAGTCACCAATGCCCACTTAGTTAATCCTGACTAGCTTCAAGCACTGTCACTAATACATTATAAGAATCTGGTAGGCTAACTAAAAGATGTATAATTTGATCCTCCTCATCAATGGAATTGCTTATGACTGACAACTCTTCAAATATTTCTGTCATTGCTTTAATATATCTGTTAACAGAATTGCCTTCTTTCAATTTAAGTGAATATAATCTCCTCCTCAATACTAACTTGTTTGTCCACATTTTCTTTTGAAATTGGTTTGTCAATTTTTTCCACACCACGGCAGGAGTGTCAGAGTCCCCAATTAAATACAAAAGTGATGGTTGGACTGACAGCATAATCATTGCCAAGGCACAATCTTTTTGCGACAGGTATTTTGAGTACAAATTCACATCTGTTTTGGAACAATCTCTTTCTCATTAACTACCTTCCATACACCCTCTCTGATCAGTGCCATTTTGCATTGCGCTTTCTAAATGGAATAATTTACCCCATTTGTCAACACAAGATTAATAAACATTGTTTCCACCGCCATATTCAATCTTATACTTAACAATTTGTTAAAATTCCCTTCCACATGCAGTAAATTCAAGATGGCTGTTATGATTCCACAAGGTCCTTAAAATGCAGTGTATTCTGGGCTCATGACCTCTGTTTGAAATTTACAATTCAAGTTAGATAGCAAACATAGACATACCTTGTTTTGTGTAAATGCAGGTATACAACTTCCTTTTCCAGACAGGAGGATAAGCTCAAGAAGGAAACACACATTGTACCATGTTAACACATGCAGTGACTTCTTTTATTTATTTGGAATAATACGACAGTGAGCCCTCAAAATAAAAACAAAGAAACTAAGGGTATATAACTCCAACTCCTTTATCTATCTGTAAGTATTCATCTGACTAGAATGAAATTTTCAATAATCCATAGGAAACAACAGATGACCCCAATATGTGACCAAGCTTTTGATCTTGTTTCAGAAAGCAATCATTTTGCTACTTGTAGTTTCAGGTTTGTTCAAACACCTGGTTAAAGATTTTGAAAACTCTCTGAATTCAAGTATTAAACTCTGTTTTCTTTATTTCAGATCTGTCAGCTTTGGACAACCTAAATTGTCTTCTGATACTAAATGTATCACACAATCTCATCACCAAACTTTTGGATTTTAAACCCCCAAAGAACTTGAAACATGCCAACTTTTCCCACAATCAAATTGAAGAGATACCTGACCTCTCTGCATACCACTACCTTTCAGAGTTGTACCTTGACAGTATCCTTTCTTTCTTTTCATGTGCATTCTGCCTCAAATATGCAAAACAGCATAGGGTGTGTGTATCTCTTGAAGGCAAATATTTACTGCATTACAAATATACTGAGGGTGTGAGTGAGTAGCATTTTCTGTTCCATTACTACTAATGTGTTTCTGTTTCAGTGGCTTTTAAATCTTCATTTTAAATTTCCTGAAAATCAGAAATAAAATCCACAAAATTTTTTCATTTTTGAAATAATGACCACTTTTGTTAGAGATTTAAAAAAAAAAAAAAAAAAAAAAAACTGGTTACTCTCAGAAATCTCAATAACATTCCCTAAACCACCCCGCAACCCACCAAATTTCTTAAAACTGAACCAGTCAGACCTAACTTGTATTGTAAAAAGTAGTGCCTGGATATTTTATAGAAAAAAATTATTATTTTCATTACCAAAAAAATTTACTCATCCTACAATATGTGTAGCAGATGTGTGTGTTTGAACACTATATATACATTTCAGAACACGGAATATAAATTTAGGGACATAGAATATAAAATTCTCATTTGTAGATATGGAATATAAGTTTGGAGACAAGGAATTAAATTCTTCATTTAGGGATATAGCATTTGGGGACACAGGATAAATTTAGGGACAAGAAATAGACACTGCTCATTAGGGACAAATAATATAAATTCCTTATTTAAGGAACACACAGGTATTAGGGATACAAAATACAAATTAGGTAACAATGAATTAAATTCCTCATTTGGACATATGGTACATAAATTCTATGTTTGGGGACACAAAATGTAAATTTGGAAACATGGAAGTGGAAATTCTTTTTAACCTTGCCACCCTACTCCACCTCTCTTTAATAGATGAATATGTTAAAATGTGTTGATTTTTGTTTTTTTTCTGGCAGGGTGATTAAGCTTAAAATATAATTACTTTCAGAAAAGACTTTGTTAGTCTTGATTAGAGTTGATTAAAAAAGAAGCCAGGGAATTTATCAGTTCTTTGAATGAATTCATTTGGAATGGAATTAATAACTAAATGACAAGATGTAATAAATATATTGAGGACACAGATGAATATTTTCATTGAACATTTCTTTTTGTAAATTAATTTTTGTTCATTTTATTTTGTTTAAATAAATTGGCAATTTTTTGTTGAAAACTCAAATATGCACTTCCACATTCTTACACAACAAAGTCTGTTCCTGAAAAAAAAAAAGTTTCATTTTAAAGCCAGTTTCACAATTTTTCCCCTGCATACCGCCTTTCTAAGCACAAAGAGAAAAACAAAAACAAAAAAGAGAGGAAAAATTACAAACAAAAATGCAAATATGCAATTCCACTGCAATTTCCTTGCCTTTTGTACTCAAATTCTCTCATTTACATTTCTTTCTTTTTTTCATCAAATATGAGCCTCAATTGCAAAATGAAGAGGTTGCCACCAATATTTTCCAATTGCAATTTAAGAGCTAGAAAAAATATTCATCTTGATTGAAATGTTAAAGATAATAAAATCTTTCAATTCACTACAGGCAAGGCCTTTATATATTATTTGTGGGTCATCAGTTTTCAAAAAGAAATTATTCCTGATGGAGGAAAACATCTTTTTTTATATGCCCAAGGCTTAGTTCAGTCATTGCAGCAATGGACTGAGAGATCTGCACTTGTAGAGAGCTGAGTTTCAGTTCCAGTCAGGTTTGTTGTATTCACTTGCACGTATTATACCCTTGGGAAAGTTATGAATGCACCTCAGTTATATTAAATAAAACAGCTGACTGGGATCTCTTGACAACCAGTCCTGGAGAAGGAAAACTCTGATTTCAAAACCATGGGCTCTGTCAGGTTACCTTGCTCTCAACAGATGACTGCAGTACACATGGTGCCCCTATGATCATAATGGGCTACAGGACACATGATGGGACGTGATGGGACATATGCTACACTTTGTACTATTTAATCTAAAAGGTGTTAGACATGATGCCATAAGATTCAGAACATTATAGATTTGAATGATGATAATTTGTAATATTCCCTTTTTAGATAAGAATATCCAACATGACTTGAGATCAATGATTCAACTTCTTTTTATAAACCTCAAACTTTCACTGACTTTTCTCATCTGATAACTGTGATTTTAAAAAAAAAAAAAAAGTTGAAGAAATTAAATGAAAACGATTTTATGTGAATTAGCAAAAAATCAGAAATTGCATCATTTTGAGGTCTGCTCAACACTGCTCATTTGCAACACAAACAACCTATTTATGAAATGTGTCATCATAATGAAAAATGGATCATTTTTAATAATGAATATTTGTAAATGAATATTTTGGATTATTTTTTTTTTTATAAATTCAAAATTTCATGTATTACAAACTTTTATTTTGAATAATGTAATGATAATTTATCCATGCACACATGGACTCTCCCAGCTATAAATAGGAGCAGGTACTACCTTTTGGAGAGGGAAGTTTCCAGTAGTCAGCTCTGACAGTTGAACCAAACATTCTTGCTGTAGCACTCACTTTTGTATATGTTTGTATACTGTTTCTGTTACTATATTTGTTTAACTCAATTCCTCTCTTTGTGTCTTTATTTCTGGCCCCTAACAAGTCCATAACAAATAGCTATTATTTTTTGAGAAACTCAATTTTTTGAACATTGCATTCAACAATTTTGATATTTTGTTCAAGGTTTTTAATTTTCAATTCATGCCATTATTCCTTGGTCATTAGTAGGTGCAACTCATGAGAAAATACAGTTTCTGTTCCTTAAACTGATCTATCAGATAACAGAATCATTGAAATCAAGGGTTTGTCAAAATGTCACAGACTTAGCAGGTTGAGTCTGAGTCACAATCAGATTTCAAAAATCAAGAACATAGAATCACTACCCCTGAAGTATTTGAATCTGGTGAGCTTTTCTGATTAATATCAGTTTTTTTTCTTTTTCTTTTCTTATTGTTTAACTACTTGTGAGCACCTGAGATATCTCATATGATCTGTTTTTTTTTTTTAATCCCAGGTTTTCTTACTTTGGCAGTGATCAAGATAAAGTTTTATGGAAATATAAGACAAATCGGAAAACTCTTTTATTTTGACATGTTTCACTGATCAAACATCATCTTCACTAAAACCTATTTTATTTCAACCAAATTAACATTGGCAAGGCAAAACATAAATGTTAGTCATATGAACATTGATTTTTTGTTTTTTACTATATCATTTTTTAAACTAGATTTTACTAACTTCAGCTCAGTTTTTCTTTATATATTTAGTTTTTGTAAAGATTTTTTAGATATCGCATTGTTCCAACATCAGTTTAGTAAAAACAAGCAGGTGACAGACTAAAAAAGCCTGGTCGTATATATTAATTGCAGGGGATTTGTAGATCATGACAATATTCAGTCACCCCCCCCCCCACGAGGGTGTCATGTGGCACAAGGCCTTTTTAACGTGGGCATTCCTGAGCCATTAGGCTCGGCCAAAAAATAGCCCATTTGAACCCGTATAAACGGGTTCAGGGCCGGTTTTACCTCCCCGAAGGAGACTCCGCCCTTCGGCGTAGCCTCCTTCGGGTTCCTCCTGCCCGTAGGAAGAGAGTTTAACCGAACAGTTGGTTCAGAGGTGATATTGTAGATCATGACACTTTCAATAAATTTTTATAAGTTGTAGATGATAAAGAAAGCAATGATTGCCTTTAAATAGCTAACATGCTATTTCACCAATATAATGTCAAAAAATATCTCAGTCCCAAATGGTTAATAGCAGAAAGTAAAGACAAAAGATTGTAGAGAGCCATTATCATCCACGTCCTGCATTTAAAAGAAGCTGTCCTTGGTATGACAATAAACTACATCCAGCAGCAAGGCCTCTGATTGGGAAGATTTGAGGAGCGTGGAACCACCTCTTAATCGCTGTTATTCACAGTTCCACCCTGACCCGGGGTTGTAACATCTGTTAGGATCCCAACTATGGACAAATAGTTAACCCCCAAACTGAGGTCAAAACACTATAAAAGTCTAAAAATACAATTTTATAGTAAAAATACCAGCAAAACATTTTCATAATAAAAAAAAATTAACAATACATTTTAAAAAATAAAAAATATATTACCAGCAATAGGTTTTTTGAAGAAGAAAAACATATTACCAGCAATGCATAAAAAAATTACCAGGAATACATTTTTGTAAAAAATTACTAATGCTCCCAAGTAAATTAAATTTCAGCATTAAATGACCCAAAAGGAGTTGATATGCCACGAAATGAACTATAAAAGAAGAAAGAACTGCATGTATGGGAAAGCTAAACTATTTTTTAATGGTTATTTTTCATGCATTTACACATTCATACCAAGCAAGTGATTGTTGTTGTTGGGAATTGTATGAATAGCAAGTCAACTTAAATCCTCAGCACCTTTCCTAGTATCCCCAGTACTTCCATAGTCTGAACAATATCAATTCTTTCAACACAGCATTACTGATATCTTATAGTCCATTTAAATACTAATGTGGTGAAACATATCAGAACAACATCTTGTTTACATGGCCTAAAATATACTGACTTCATCCCCCTGTGTAGAAATATGAACCCCATAAATGGGACCACATTCTTGGGGAATTCATGCAGACAGAAGTATAAACCCAACCAATGTTTACCTATAGACTCAAGTATAAACCCAACCAACATTATTACATAGAAGTTCAACATTTTCTTTTCCTATCTCTTAATAATTTACTTAGTTTCTAGAAAGCATCTATCAGTATTCCTATGTGTCTTTGGATTTTAGCATCACATTTTCTATCATTTGTTACTACACTATTCAGAGAGTTTCATTTCTGTACTTGCTTGATTTTAACATCTCTAGTACATGTAGCTCACATTGAGGGCTGTCTTTTTGCTGATGAGCAAGCATTCTTTCTTCTTACAGTTAACAGCCTTATTCAACAGATATTAATTCAACTTTGATCCAAACCAAATTTATTATTCATCTACACAGATGATGCAAATGTCATGAAAAGTTTTCTTAAAGTTTGTTTTTAAAAAATGATACAGTAAAAATATTAAGTCATTTTATTTTCATCTAAAATCATCAAAAATAAATTTAACGTTTTTTTATTTATTTTTTCCCCTCTTATTTTACATTTACTTTTATTTCAGTCCAACAACCAGATTTTCAGGATTGAAAATTTAGAAACACTTTCTTGGTTAAGGGTGAGTATTTAATAAGTCAATTTCACTTTGTGAGAAAGTGGGTGCGTGAATGGTTAACAGCACAGAATAATGGAATTGTCAGGTCACATTCAAATTTCATCTGAAACTGTTTGTGTTCACTTCATACCAATGCCCTTGGGAAAGTCATGGAATCATTACTTCTGCTCCCACAAATAGCAGGAAATACTAATTAGTCTTGATTGGCAGTCTGTCTAGAGGAAGAATAACTCTGAATTCAAAACTTCCCCTGTCATGGCATGATCAGTTCATGAGAAAGGCTTTAGAAGTAAACCCTAAAGTCAAATTCAGAGTTAAAGTCCCTAAAGCAATTCAATGTTGTCTTCAGCTTTGTTCTAGCAACACCAGTGTTATGAAGAGGAAAATCTTGCTGCATGAGCAACTGCCTATATAAAAACCTAAAATAATTATCTACATTTCTCTTGGTATCTATAATTTTGCTGCATAAAACTCAAGCCCAAAACATTACTACATCCCCCTCCACTTCTTCTAAGTCCTGTTGATTGGCTGTTTCAATGAAGGACTCATCTTTTCCCCAAGCCATCATATTCATTCAATATAATCCTACATTTCACACTAAAATTTACTGTTGACAAATCAGTTTTCATGTACTTCTTCATCCAATTTACATGTTTCACTTTGCAATGTTTAATTAAAAATAGTATTCTTTCATGTACTTTATCCTTTTAGTTTTTTATCAAAGTTCTTCAAGCCAATTATTTTTGTTTTCTTGTTCTTATCTTGTCAGTGTTCTCAATTTTCTTCTGTGATCTCCATTAAACTTTTTCAAAATTCCCATTTTGCTATTCCTATCACACAATAACGTTATGTCTTTTTTCTCTTTTGTATTTTTCTTATAACCCAAATCGTTATATATCTGAAAATTAAAATATTAATAACAATATTATTATGTCTCCTTATTTACTGTAGAGGAGTAAGTGGTGATGGTTAAATGAAATGTAAATGGCAAAACTGCCCAATAAACAGAATTGATAAAGTTTGTCATAAACAAAAAAAGAAAAGAACAGGGCAAAAAATAATATTGAGCAAGCTAACTGTTGTAACCCAAAATACTAGGAACAACAAAATATAACAAAACACAGTTGAATATATTTTAAAACACAACAATATTCGTTTTATTATCACCAACCAGGATACTGCAGGATTGGGTTGGATAAACAATTCACTTTCTACAGGTGGTGTATTGTCCAGCAGCCTTGTTGTTGTCTGATAATACACCTTTTTTCTGTGTAGAGTCAATGATTCGTTAGGGGAGAGTTGTCTCCCTTAACACTAACACTATATGCAAGATAAAGCTTAATTATTATTTACAACATAAAGAACCTTTGATATGCACAACAAACTCTTCCTTCATCAAATAAATTATTGTAAATATTTCTAACAAAACCATATAAACTGAAATTACAATGGCATATTTATTATATAAATACAAGTATACTCTGACAATTTTACCCACATAAGTTGGTTAATAATAATTTTATTGTGAAAATATTAACTTGAATAATAAAATTTGGCATAGTGTAAGTTATGTTTTTAAAAGAAAGATTTTAGAATAACAAATTGTTCCTATACATAATTTATAGTTTCATTAGGCTGAGAATGGGAAAAGGTAAAAGTAACTCTTAGTTTCACACATGAAAAATATTTATGAATTACTACCAATAAACAATAGGTATATAAAATATATCTTCTTTTATGCACCATGTCCCTTCAGGACGTAGGTGATCCTGGCCCTCCACATCTTCCAGTCCCTTGTAGTTTTTAATAATTTTTGTCTTTTTGTTATTTCTCCCAAACCCTGTTCTACCATCCATTTGCTGAAGCTCATCAAGTATGTTACATGCTGCTTTTCTCTGTCCCTCTTTCCTTCAATCAGTCTTGTGAGTATCAAGTTTTCCATGCCCTCCTTCTTCATTACATGCCCCATAAATTTCAGCTGCCTCTTCCTGATGTTAAGTATAACTTGCCTTTTTGTTTCTATTTTCTCCAAAACCTTGTCATTGTTCACATGTTCGGTCCATGGTATCATCAACATCTTTCTGTAGAACCACATTTCTGTTGTTTCACATCTCTTCTTCATCTTTGAGGAGATTGTTGCAGCCATACAGGAGGATGGATATTATGTAACAGTTCATTACTCTTTTCTTTGTTTCTCATGAAATTTTTCTGTCTCTTAATATTCTGCTTAGCTTTTGGAATGCATTTTTGGTCATCCCATTACATTTTCATATCTCAGTGTCACACTTCCCATCCTCTGTTAGAACACTTTCCAGATATTTTAATTTCTGTACTTGTTTGATTTTAGTATCACTAATTTGTAATATACCAGTCAGTAATATGAAATGTTGGGCAGTGTTTTCAGCAAGTGAGGTGATGTGATGGAATAACGTGCCACCCCCATGAGTGGCAGCACTATAGGTGAGGACAGCGGATGGGAGAGTCAAGCTGGTATCTGTGAGACTAGTGGCCTTCCAGTAGCAGCACACACACAACTTTACTGACTTACAACAACTGTGTGCATAACTATTACTTCCTTGCTTGTTGTACTGGTTTCTACTATAAACCTGTTACTATTTATCCACCGTGTTTGTCCATTCCATATTCCTATTAGCATGGAATATAACATGAGGCTAACAAATTTACTTTCAGCTAAACAACATTTTTTAATAGTCTGTACAGAAGTACAAGCACAACTGAATCTGTCATACCATATATAGTATGACAGTAGCATAGTTGTTTTGTTTTTGGCTGTATTATCATGATGATATTCTATTGGGTGCTTAATTAAATAAAATGAATAAGACTTAAACAACAAAATGTCCTTCTCAAATATTTCATCACCAAATGAAATTAACATTTCTGAAAATAAATACTGAGTTTTTGTTTTTTGTAAAGTTGATGTCTCCAAAAATCTATTGTAAGAATTTTCTTAGAGTTTGCAAGACATTCAGCTGCATCGTCCCCATCCTTTTGCAAAATAAGAAATTATCAAGAATTTTAATCAATAGCATATGTTATCTGAATTTGGGTACATCATGTAACTCTTCATCATAAAAAAAAACGTTTCCATTGTACAAGTTATCATAATAAGAAATTTTCTCTATGAAAGATTTTCTGTCTACCAGGTTTGTCTAGCATGTATTCAGCCACTTTGAATGTCTCAAGAACCAGTTGACCAACCTTGATATAAACAATCAGATAGGACCTTACTGGAAATGCTTGAACAGACACACTCACATAGTATTTTACTCAATTGGCTCTCAGATGCCATTAAGTGAGCATGTATATTGTCAACTATTGCATCCACAGCAAACAAGCATTAAGTTCTGCTTGAAACTTAGACATCCATCCACAGAAACTATTCAAATTATTTTTTCAGAAATGATTCCATGAGTGAAGCCTAAATAAAATTTTAGTACTGACAATTGGAACTTGGCACAGAATTTGTTGAAAGCAATGCCCATTTTGAAAAGCTTTCAATGAGCAGAACACTCCAAATTGTTGAATGTGTACAGACTGCAACGTAATCAGTGACTGACCATGTGAGAATCAGAAGATCTGGAGGAACTACCTACTGCCTGGAAAGTATCTACAGACATTTGGAATATCTCCACTGCTCATTAAAACTTGTTCAATGTGTTTCATCAAAATTTTTCATCACTCAGGTCTGTCAGCCTCCTCCACAGTTCTGATTTGGCTCCCTGTGACTTCTAACTTTTCCTGAGACTAAAATCAGTCAAAAGATTTCAGACTATGGACAAGATTAATGGGAATGCAAGACAATAGATGACAAACTCAAAAATTAATTTTGCAGATGTTTTTGAAAAAATAGAAGGGATGCTGAGATTAGTGTGAGAGGCCTCACAAAAAGAGTCCTTTGAATTGGATTAAAGTACCATTTCCCTAAGTAGGATACTTTTTCAGTAAATGGTTTGATCATTTGCAAACAGACCTTGTATTATAATTTATGATATTGGAATTTACATCACACACATACACACAAATATATATATATACATATATATATAAACATAAAACATTAGGCAGCATATGATTTACATACAAAGAAATAATCACACATAGAATCAATCAGAAGTATTAATGCGACTATTGGTGACATCCATCGCTAGAAAACATAATATATGCATTAAAATCCTGTTCATCCATAGTGCGAGCTTGATCCTCGTCGATAAACTTGTTGTCTGTAGTTTTCAGTTTATTTGATGTTAAAATGCCAGTACTTACGAATAGTCTTCTATTCATCATCAGGCATGTTTTTTCCTTATAAAATCAAAAACTTGAGACGATATACTTCTTTAATTAATACTTAATACTTCTGATTGATTCTATGTGTGATTATTTCTTTGTATATATATATATATATATTAAAAACGACAGACATTCTGAGTTGATTAATTTTAATGATTGACTTTACCAAGTTAGGAATAATCCTTCTCAGACAAGGAGAAAATTCTCTCAGAAATTGTCCAAAGTTTCTGACAGAATTTCCTCCTTGTCTGAGAAGGATTATTTCTAACTTGGTAAAGTCAATCATTAACATTAATCAACACGAAATATGTCATTTTTAATAGTATCTGCCTTAAGAAATATTTAGTGGAAGTTATCAGTGCAGCCAGCTTTAATTTTGTGATAATTACACCTGCTTTGATGAACCTAAGCAAGCCTCAATTTAAACAGATTCTTAATAGCTTGGAACATCTCTAATCTCTCTCTCACTAAATAGTTTCCCAATTACAAAGTCTGATGATGGAAATACATTTCCATGTTTCCTAGAGAAAAAGTGCCATTTTAAATTTACTTTCCAATTCATTAACCTCTTTGACTCTCCATTATACAAATATCCTTTTCTTAAATTTGAACAAGTTCTAACTTCTTTCTCTGTTTCCACATAAATATAATCTTTTACTTTCTAATCTTTAATGACAGTTGTCACATGATCACAGCTTATCTGTCAATCTCTTCAACTGTTGTATTCACAGTTTCACTTGACTTGTATGCCAGCATTTATCAGTTATAATTCCATCCAACTTCTGTTTTTCTACTAAACACCATTTCAAATGTTTTCTCTCTTTCACAGGAAATTGATTTATCATGTAATTGGATCAGCAGTCTTCAAGGTTTAGAAAAACACCATCTTCTGGAGTCTATTAATGTCAATGATAATCAAGTAAGTAAAAAAAGAAACCTTGAAAAACTATATTCATTTATTTTAACCATTTCACACTGAGCAAGACAATAAAGTCATTGACACAAAGGTTTACTGAGGATAAAAGACAATAGAGTGAGACTACTAAGATAATGTTACTGAGGATGAAAGACAATAGAGTGAGACTACTAAGATAATGTTACTGAGGAGAAAGGACAATAGAAAGAACAGGATTCAAGGTGACAAAAGATGACAATTGATGTTACTTTTAAATTTTTGAAGATTAAAATTGACAGGAAAGCAAGAAGCTAGAAGAGAGTTCTATAGGCAAGAAATGTGAGAGAAAAAAACCCTATTAGAACAGAATTTACAGTTACATTTAGCAATTTCAACAGTAAAATAATGAAACCTAGTTGCCAATCTAGTACTATATTTAAATTCAAGTCAAGTTACCAAAAAGGAGAAACACATCAGAACTACTGCCATGAAAATATTTGTAAAAAAGGCCCAGGGAAGCTATGTTACAGTGATGAGAATGTGATTGAAGCAAAGATGTCAGGTTGGGTCAGATAACATTGTAGATTCTTTGGATTTTGTCAAGAATCTTTATGGGATATTTCAACACCACCAACACTACAATGGCCAATTCATGTCTGTGGCAACTCACCACCAACCTATTCATCATGTGAACAATTCAAAGCTGGTGTTGAATTCATAGCTTCAGACTGGTGTTGGCTGTCCTAGTGTGCGCATCTCTTAGATTGGCATTGAGTTGTAGAGATTTTGAAAATTTGGCTGTTTGTCTTAGTGATTTATTTTGGACAAATAACCATACTGAAGTCGCAAATAAGACTGCACACAGAGCCTGGGATGGAGCATCCCACAATATGGACATTTATTACAGGACTGCAAAAGGTGCAAAGAAATTGAGAAATTAATTGGAGGTCATTCTCCTGTCACTAAATTGAAGAAGTCTATGAAGACAGATGAAAGAATTTTTCAGATTGTTTCTTTTTCACAACAATCTGCAACTGAATATTTGAGGGGAATTGCATACAATTTTCAATAAATTTTTAAATTAAAAATAATGTATTTAAAAATGATCCTTAATAAATTACTTTTATTCAGTTTTAAAAATTATGTTTTAAAAATGATCCTTAATAAATTACTTTAGTTTGTTTTTAAAAAGTCAATGAAAAAATTTGATAATACATGTTCTTGAGTTGTTTTCATGCTAAGTAGGCTGGTGGTGAGTCGCCTTGGAGTTATCACAGAGATGAGTTGGCCAGTGTTGGGTCGGTGGTGTTGATTTGACAATGATCAGTCATCCTCCACCCTCTTTAGATACATAGAACAAGTAGTATTATTCAATTCATGAATGAATGGCAGACTTATAAAGGTATAACACCGATTTGGGCAAAAACAATTATCACAGTGAATCAACAGCAAACTTAGAAATTGACTCAATATAATCATTCTAATTCACATCAGGAGAAAATGCTAGACCAAGAAGGTGCAATAAGTTACTTTCCTAGAGGTTAGCATCAATCATATCATTGTAATGATATTGTTATGCTGACTAATAAAAACACAAAACTTAACCTCTTATACATAACATTATATTATATTGGACTCTGGCCTTCATCAATTTAATGATGGCCAGTGTGTATGTGACCCCCAGGCTCCTCATTCAAAATGTGGACCATACATTCTTATTTGTAGTGCAAGAGATTACTACCTGTTTACCACTGGGGTGGGTGTTTATATATCTCTTTCTGTCATACAGATCTTTCTCATGCCTACATCCCAGGTTCAGCTGGGCCAATCACGTGGGTCTACACTTGAAGGCTAGGAGGTCATTTGTCAGGTCAACACTGCACTTAGCTTCTCTAGTTGGTTGGTTGATTTTGCTTAGCAGCATATCAACACCTCTATGGGTTATTTAATGCAAAAATCTAAATATTTCATACACAATATTATGTTTTCAACTACTGATATTTTGTACATAATTTTATACTTTCAGGGTAAATGTATGTATTGTTGGTAGTTTTTTAAAACATGTATTCTTGGTAATTTTACTATAAAAATTTTAATACTTTTCTAGTGTTGTACTGATTGTCATTTTGTTATAAAAATGTATTGTGGGTCATTTTATAATAAAAAAAAATGTAGTGTCAGTTTTTGTTTGTGGAGTTCACTATCTGCCCATAGCTGGGACCCTAACAGGTGCTACCACCCCAGGTATTTGAAGGTTCCATTCTCCTCAAAACTCCCAATCTCTTGATGAGAGAACTTGCTGCTAGATGTAGTTTATAGTCATAACAAGAACGGTTGGCTTCTCTGAAGGACACCAAGTGCAAAGTCTATTCTGGTATGACCTGAGGTGAGACATATACTACACAATCAGGTTATGAAAGATGTTATAAAATGAATTGAGCACTGTTTATGGTTCAGTATTTGTTTATCTACTTTGTTATGCTTCTCTGGCTGGACACTAACATTCAGTCCAAAGAATTGTCTTGTAAGAAAAAATAGAATAGCATCCTCTTGATTGAATCCAACAAGTCATAAAGAAATTTACAGCTGATGTCCAAGGGAAATAAATTGGATAGAATTGTTGACCTTTGCTATAGAAGATAGCTAATTAATGGTAAATGAAAGTAGGAAGATTGTGTTGCACCAAACTTCCAAATGATGAGGTCCTGCCTAGAACCTCATCATTCAATATTCTGACTTTTATCCAGCTGACTACAGTTGTTACTATCAGATATACAACAACCTACTAACAAACCAACAAAGAATTGACTTAAGCAAATCCAAATCATAATAAAACTAAAAGCAATGCTCAAAAGATTTATGCTCCCAAAATAATCTTGAGCTCTTTGTACTGATGACATAATCAAATGAAATTTGGCCAGATTTCAAATAACAGCAGATACTTTAAAAATAATTATTTTCAATCAAATTCAGAAGGTTAAAGTTTGGGCTTGAACAATAGGCATTGTAGTCATCTGTCCAATTCACTGTCCACTGAGCTTTAACCTTGGGGCTCTCATCTTTTGTTTCCACAGATTCACTCTATTGAGGAAATTTCTCACATCAAAGATCTCATCTTGTTGCGAAGCTTTACCATTTTACGGAACCCAATTGCACAAATATTCAACTATCATCTGGCCATTCTCTTCCAGATTCAACGCCTTCTGGAACTAAATGGCTCTCCAGTCTCCATCACAGACAAGGGAAGCAATACTAATCTTTTCTTTTTATCTCCTTACACAAAACTTGATTGTCTCATTCAATAGTTATCTCTTTTCTTCTGACTTTTATGATTTGTCTCTGAGTGATGATATTACTGACAAGTAGACAATGATGAGAAATTCCATCAGTTGTTCAAAATAAGATAGTCAAGATAACTGATTAAAGAAAGGGTTGGGAAAAAGAATTGAGCATTCATTACTTTCTAGAAAGTATCAGTTTTGTAAAGAACAAAAAGAATTTTAATCAGTCACATTCCCTGAGATCCTTTCTGTTTGAAAATACACTTTTAGTCTAATAGGTGTGTGTATGCATGGAGATCATATTTCACAACAATACAATTAACTACATTTGCCTGCCAAGAAGATGCTTGTTGTGGCATTTATTTTAAAACTGCTAAATGTGTATGTATATATATAGAGTGTATCAAAAATATTTTTACAAGCTTTGGGGGTGGGTTCCTCACACCAAAACAAGGACAAAAGTCCATATAAACATCACGCATGACCACGCAAGAGTGAAAACGGGAAGTATTAAGTATGTCATGAGTTGCAGTGCGATATTTGCTTCCAGTGTCTCATATGCACGAGTTTGTCATTGCTTGGAAATCTTCCATGCAAACAAAAACAGACTATCATTATTGTTTTGTCCGTGTATTGGTTAATATATTGTAATGTAATTGTCATCTTTGATAATGGCTTATGTAAGCCAAAAGCTTAGATAGGATTAAAAAATATGTATCAATATGGTGATTTTCTTCCATCTTTTAATGATAATGTTATTAAGCTTATCAAACGATCTGAAAAGAATTTATATAAAATAAATAGACAAAACTTGTCTATATTATTTAATGAAACATGCATCAATAAAAAAAATGCTGCCTAAATACACACACACACATATATATATATATATATATATATATATATATATATATATATAGTTTTTGACAGCAGATGATCAAACAAATAAAGCACATTCTATACTCTTTCATCTTAGCAAATTGCTTTCTCTTTTAATTAATTTCATCTTAGGGAATTGCTTTTCTCTTTTTAATTTAAATCAAAATTAAGGTCAGGCTCATTAAGTCTTTTATTGTTTTAGTAGTAGTTGTAACAAATTTTATGTTAAGCTTAGATAAATTCTTTTCAGTTGTAGTTGTGATGGAGTTGGTAGGTTGAATAATATATTCAGTGGGTTTGTCAGAATGATCCATTCTTTTATATTGAAATATTTTACAAGATTTTTGGAGGAGCTTAAAAGTAGTTTCAATGAAAACTTAATACAAAACAAAATAATAATAAGCTAAGACTTGAAGGAGGAATTTCACCTGTAATTTTTCCACAAGGAATGCATAGGAGAAACCTCAAGATATTTAAAGGATTATATAAACACAGAAGAGATATTTTACAAAACAATATACTTTTGTATTAGTTGCTCACTCCAATGTGTCTGACCATAAGTTAGATTTAAAAAATGTTACTTTAATTAAAAGAGAAAGCAATTTACTATGATGAAAGTGTATAGTATGTGCTTAAATTGCTAGTAAATTTGCATCCAGGTTCTTACAGAATTTCAACGTATATTGTTTTTATACATGTGGATTACATCTTATAGCATTATGACAGACGGATCCTATTTATATCAATTGAAGCATGTTTAACAAGTGACCTATGACATTTGACTTTTGTTCATGGCATACAAGGATTGATTGATAAGAAAGGTCTCCTACTATATGTCATCTCTAATAGTGGCGATAGAAGCAAGTTTGAAGACATATTTGGTAGTGTATGAATTCCTCTTCTAATGTACTTAGTTTCAGTTCATTTTGTAACATCATTGAATAATAGAATTATAGGCCTAAAAGGAGAACTTTTTGAATTTCAATAATATAAGGAAGCATTTCAGTCAACATACAGTGCAACGCACAAGAAGCTTGGAATTCACAGCTGTTACACACCTTCTGTATAAACTAAATTTAGCAGCTTCTGACTTCTAGTTGTTCCCAAAATTGAAAGAAGCATTTATCCATGTGTAATTGAAACTAATACCAGAAACTGCCTTCAGTATCACGATTCCCTCCAGTCTAAAACTTTGATACCTTATTTAACAATCAATCTTTGTAATTTTGAAGAGAAATTTACTTCATTTTGATTTTTTGTGAACTTTTTGCCTTATTGCTTTGCCTTGCATATATTGTTTGCTCAATATTATTTTCGCTCTGTTCTTTTCTATTCTTTCTCTTGTTATTGTTTATTACAAACTTTGTAAATTCTGTTTGTTGGGCATTTCTGCCAATTACATTTAACCACAACCAATCACTCTACAAGTTTCATTATCCTGCCTGCTTTAAATCTTATAGGATTGGAAACTTTACTTTTCAATCAATCTTCTGTGAAAAACAACTTACACAAAAGGCTTACTAATCATGAATCTTTTAACCTTTATTTTTCTAGGTGGAGGCTCTTAATTTATTCGATCCTTGCCTTGAAGTTGTGGCAGCCAAAACTCATATGATGTTAACTCTTTATTCCTTTTTAAAACCTTGTCGCATCTCAGATATGTAAGTCTACTCTGTGATCAATACAAAGACTTTGGTCTGTAATGCTTTTAAAAACTATGATCCCATATACTTATGTAAGGATGACTCTCATGTACAAGTCAAATATTTGCCAAAAGAATTTCAATTTTAAGAACAGTTATCATTCCAAAAGTTGTTTAAACTATTCAGCTCATTTTTCACAACATTTGGCCTGATCCATTCAATAGCTTTCTTCAAATGTACAACTCAGAATACAAATGTGGTGCCACTTTTTTCACATGAATAAGTGGCAAACAAAAGATGGTTAATATACTGACTCAGCTCACTCCCAGCAATATGAGCCACACAGACAATACCAATTACAAACTATAACTCTGTCTCCTAAACTATGTAACTACAGTAAGTCTATCATATATAAAAGGAATTAACAAACAAATCCTAAAGATTTGTGGATAACATCCGGGTGATTTTTCAATTGCATAACCACAATGAAAGCAACACAATAAGTTCAATAGACTAAACAAATCTTGGAATTCCAAACAAAGATAAGCTTTCTGTCAGAATTTCTGCAATGACAAGTTATAATTATATAGATGCAGGCTATTTTGCTCATCTTTGTCAAATACTATAACATTTCATCCGTTGTACCCTCCTACCTTCATCAGGTGCTTGTCATTCCGAGTAACCTTCAAAGAATTTTGAAATGAGCCCTTTATTTAATCTACAGAGGTAGTTTGTTCAACTTATGTTATCCATGTCTAGGATATCTTGTCTAGTTCTTATTTAGTACTGCTCAGTACTTTGCTCGCCTCCTTCTTGGCCTAGGGATTGAACTCACAATTACTCTATCACCCTAGTCATGTTGCAGGCAAATTAAACCTAAGGCTCAATGTTCTACACAGGATTGTTCCATGGGACAATAGCCTAGTGAATTACAGCATTGATTTGGGAATTTGATGACATTGTAAGTGTGAGTTCAATCCAGGCAGTGGAAATAGGATGAGCAATAACTGAACAGTACTAAGATATTTACACTGTTTACATTGTTTGAACTGTTGTCCTCATCTTTATCATATTCACACTGTTTCCAGCCTTCCTCAAGTGATATACGTTAGAATTTTGAACCATACCCTTTATTTAGTCCATGTGGGTAGTGTAACAAAGAAAGTGGTTTAACTTCTGGATGAAAGTGGACTCGGATGTGTCTCACATGTGAAATATTCCCAAAAAGAAAATGGTGGCTTTATGAGTCATATATTTAAAACAAAGATAGATCTCAGAATCAGATACATTTGCAAGAATCTCTTTCCATGTATGCAAATTTGACCTATCAATCTATAAAATCTGCTTAAAGAGACAACAGAGGATTGTGATGAGGACCTTAGCAAACAGGAGACAGTTGTTGTTCGATTATTTGACCCAAATTCATACCATTACTCTGTTGGTAGAAGGAAATGGATTCTGGACATTTATTATAAGCCAGAAGAAACTGACTACAAGCTATTTTGGCACTTACTACTCATGGACCGAATCGACTTCAAATTGATACCCAAGTTTGATGGCTCTCCCATTGGCCTATCTGTTGTTGAGTGGGTCAAGAAGGCAGATCTCATTTGCCAACAAATTGAAAGAGCCAGCAAAAGTCATTCCTTTAAGGCTGTTGGTAGGGTGGTACATTATGTACCAGCAACTTAAAGAGGAAGAAAAAGTTGACTTTACCAAGATAAAGCGAGCCCTTTATACAGCCTTTGGAATGGATCTGTTTCATGGCAACAGTTTATTGAGCACTGACTGCTCCCCAGTGAAACAGTTGACATCTACCTGGCCAATTTAAGGAAGCTTTCTGTGCCATTTGGAGGCCTGAATGACCAGATGCTGCAGAGGCTCCTTTGTGGCAGGATTACTGGATGATGTCAGTCTGCTCTTGAAAACAACATCCAGAATGGATGAGCTATTGACCAGCCAGCTGTTGGCATGAGCCCAAGCCATTTGCAAGAATATGGAACTAGTGGTAGCACCAACAAGAATGGCTGGCAGATAAGTTTCCCAACCACAAAGACATACAAGTGATTCCTTTGCTAATGGCAAACACAATGTTCCAATATGTTACAAACCACTTTACAAGGGAGTGCTGGAGTCAGTGATGTGGGGAGCCAGAGTTGGGAAGCACAGAGATAGCTAAAGTGCTGTTGTTATGATAAACTGGGTCATGTGGTGTGGAGTTGTTCAGGAAAATGGAATTGGGTCAAGGTATCATCGCCAACCTTGCCTCCTGTAAGACAGTGAACATACCATTACCTATAGTCAGCATCCAGGTAAATAGTGTACAGTGTTCAACACTTGTTGACACCAGATATTCCCAATACTGCATATTGCTGTCGACTGTGAAGGAGACAACGTGTAGATGTTGTAACACTCAGTGGAGCTGTTACAATTCATACAGAGCAAGGTAACCATGCTGAAGTTGGCATTCTGGTCATGCAAGAAAAACCTCTTGGCTAAGATCTGATGATTTGGGTTGATGCAATATAAGCATTAGGAGGCACTGTAATTATGCCAGCTGGAGATGTGCATCTTGGAAGAAGGAAAGAGTCATCTGCAGCAATCTCTATTGAAGAACCTGATCTCTGTGCTACTTTTGACCACAAAGAGAAAACCTGGACTATGAGTTGGAAGTGGGCCATGGATAAAGTACCAGAACAGTTACTAAATGCAGTTCCGGAATACTCTGTGTCTAATAAGAAACAGGGCTGCATATTAAGAGGAGTTGCACACATGGATTGCTAACAGCTGGCTGATACCATATCTCCAGATATGACTAGGACCTCCCAAGTGTGTGATTCCTCTAATGGCTGCTGTACAGCCCAACCAAGACGTGTCCAGTCTTGGATTACCAAGAGTTGAACCAACACATGCTTTCACTGCAGACGCAGATATATATGCCACCAAATTATGGGCGTGGTGGCAGCAAGGCGTTAATGTTGCCTTATTGGCTCTACAGAGGGCATATCTCCAGATACACATCCATGAGTCACTGTGGCTATTTCAAACGCTGATAATCAAAGGGAAGAGGTACTGCTTGACACATGTCAGATTCAATCTCAATGTGGCACCTCTTGTTATGAAAGCTATTTTCAAGACTGTGTTGGCTCAAGAGGAAGTTCCAATGAGAGCCACCTCATCATATATTGATAATATATATATATGTAAATGAAAGCATAATGTATGTAGATGGAGTCAAGGAGAGACTATGATCCTTTGGGTTAACAAGTAAGGACCTTAAGCGCCTGAAAGATAAGGCTCTATTATTGGGCCTTGAAGTCTGGGAGAAGCATAATACACTATGGTGGAAGCAGAAACTGGAGTAATGAAGAGGCGAACAACTGCATTAACAAAAGGATGGGATGACAGTGAATAACATCACTTTCAAGCAGATGATGGCCAAAGTAATCACCAAAGTGCACCAAGATGATCCTGCCCAAGGTGGCTAGTGTGTAACTGGAGAAGACGTTAACACATAGGTTGATGCAAACTTACTGGCAACAGGTGTGGTGTTGGATAGACATGGTGCTATTCTTGAGGACACATGCTGGCTTTGTCCAGCAAACAATGCTCAGCATATCAATCTAGTAGAACTTGATCCCATGCTAAAGGGTCTTAACTTTGCACTACAGTGGCAATCTAATGTCGTGCACCTTTATACAGGCTCAGTATGTGTTTACCACTGGTTGACTGATACCATAATGGGCAAATCCTGAGTATGAACGAAAGCCTCAACTGAGATGTTAATACGAATGTTGGTGATCTTAAAACAGCCAATTGACAAGTACAGTTTGGTTGTTGACATCACCTTGATTGCATCAGAGCAGAATCTAGTGGATTGGCTAACCATTGCCATGCATGTGCACTGTTTTAACAGACCAATTGATATCTAAGTTGTTCCAGGCCATACACCATCAAAGCTGATATCCTGGTGTTCAGCATACAGCCTACTTTGTCTAAAAAGTTTGCCTCTTGAGTATGAAGGTAGTTGTCAAATTGACAATACAAGATTGTAAGGAGTGTTGGATAGTAGACCCAACCCCAGTCCATTGGCAAAAGAGGAGTCTTGAAATGGATAGCAGTTGTTGCCAGTTACTCATGGATATCACACACTACAATGGCATATCTTTCTTAACACTCATAGATTGTGGTCTAATGCTTTTCACCATTTGGCATCCACTGGCATGCCAGGATGCATCGACTGCCAAAGGCAGTATCCTGTGAACACTGTCCACCAGTTGAGATATTAACAGACAATGTTCCAACCTTTCGAGCATTTGTAGATGAATAGGTGTAATACAGATGTGCCTCCATTCCAGAGGGTAATGGTATAGAAGAGCAATGCCAACATACTATTAAAATAATAGCAGCCAGAACATAGTGCTCTATTCAGGAAGCTGTGTATTAGTACATGACCATGAAAGATGACTCCACACTGTCAACTGCACCAGTTAAATGGAATTTACCTGTACAAACAGCATGTGAAAGAGATAGATGCGTCACTACTACTTCCTAACAGTGTAAATAATCAGTATCATGTGGGAGACAGTGTCTGGGTCAAGGCCCAACACAACTGATGCACCAGCAGATTTGGACAAGTTGATGGGATAGTTAGCCTCCAAACAGTATTGCTTAATGGAACAGCATGCTATGTGAAAGACCTGCAACCATGAGAGTGACTCAGAGACTCAGTTGTTCTTAAGAACAGGGTTGGAAAGTTCGCCTGCAGACTTAGAGGATAATGATGATATTGGAAATGAGGGAGACTGAGAGAACACAGGCAAAGGCACAACGCTGGTAGAAATATCCCACCTCTTGTCTAGGAAGAAGCACTTGCCAAAGAGGACCTCTATCCCCCTGCTATATATGTGATCAGGAGATCAATGGGGAATGTAACTATAGAGAAAGTGGTTTCTTTCCTGGATGAAAGCAGATTTGGATGTGTCTCGTGTGTAAAATATTCCCCAAAAAAAAATGGC